GGAATTTGAACGGAGCCGGTTCATAAGTTAGATTGATCAAGCACTAAAACCGCCTAATACCCATTGAACCGGATGATTTTTTAAATAACCGTTCAAACCGGGCGGATTTAATCAAACCGGGCGGGTCATTCAAGAACTTTATACATTTAGATTTTATTTTTTTTTGCCCTAATTTCTATCCGCCTCATATGGTCTCATAACTCCGTCTCTCGCGCGCCTCTGCGACCTCAATCATCTCAGTTCAGGTAGCCATGAGTCACCACCACCATCGTCGAATTTGTTCATGCTACAGGTTGTCTCTCTATCGTCTCATCTCATGTTGATGGTTGAATCAAATGAGGGTTTCACTCTTTGTATTTCTTGATTTTTTCCACTGGACACAGGTACATCATCACCATCTCTCTCTCTCTCTATATGATATGTAGACTATTCACTCTTTATTTTCGTATTTTTTGTCACTTATTTGGTGAATATTGCACTTATTTTTAAGAAACACAACTTAGTTCTTAGCTCGTGGGTTTTCCCATATTTGGCTGCTTGATTAGATAAAGGAGATTAGTGATCTACAATTTTTTATTACCATTAGTAGGTGTACACGTGCGTTGCACGTAAATAATTTTGATTTATTTATTTTATATATTTTTCAATGTTTATTTGTGCAACAAAGTTTTTAGCCGTAGTTTTTGTGCTATTTATCATTTAGGAACATGACACTTTGGAAGTGAATACAAAAAGAACAAGTGTATATTTGAGAGATAATTGATAAATTGAATATCATAGCCTATTTAGTTTGAAGTATTCCTACAAAAAAAAACCTTTGCAATTGTAAGAAAGTCTCTTTAACTCCTATACCAAAAACATGTAAAAGATTGCATAATTTTTAAAAAAGCAAATGCAAGATTACAAATATAAAGAGAAAAATAAAACATGAAAAATCTTGATGAAATATTGTTTAAAGTGTTATCATAATAAAATGGACCACAATATCCACTTTACTTCAAACCAAATTATCGCAATAAATAATTAAAATAACTGAAATATTGTCTAAGTTTTATCCTAATAGAAGTGAAACCAAGTTTTAAAACATATAAGAAATTTGGTTTTGAATTTCTCAAGAAAACTAACATGGAGGGGGTGCAAAGAAAAATAACAATGGGATACATGGTCAACCTTAGTGGGTCAACCAATTTCAACCTCAATTTTTTTTAAATATATTATATGTATACTTACCCACTCTATAATTTTCTTATTTCAATTGTTTTATCTTTTTTATTGTATTAAGGGTTTTTTTTTCAGATGATCTTAATTTTATTATTTTATTATTTTTAAAGGTAAAAGTTATTGCAAATGACTTTCATTTGACTTTTATTATTTATACGAAAAATCGTCTCTATTTCTATTCAAGTATTGATTATAACATTTATTATGTGACAATCGATTTTTATTTTTTTACTATGTTTAGCTCTTAAAATTTAGTTTAGTAGTTTTATTATGCTAATATCTCAGTGATAATGCTTGAAAGTTTGAAACATTGTTTATTGAATAAATTTAATGAATTGTTAATAAATAATTTATATTTTTTAATTACAAAAATTACAATTATCTTCAATTTTTAACTAGGGTGATAATAAATCATGTTTTTTTTATACATATACAATATATTTTCTTTTGGCCTTTTCTATGTTAAATGGATTTTATGTATAAAAAAATGTATCAAATATGATCTAATAAATATAAATATATTATATAGTGTAATTGGTTAGGAGGAAAAAAAAATTAGAATGTGTAATTAAAGTGTCCACCCCAAACAAAGTTCTTGGCTTTGCTCTTGCATATATTTGGTAAATATTGATTATTATTCGGTAAACAATCACGTTTTATTAGAACTTTCCAATAACTACTAATTAAACTATTTTTAAAAAGAGTATCTAGTGACAATACTTAGCTAATACTCTATGAAATTTTAAATGAAATAATTTAAAATGTGAAATTTACAATTATTATGGTCTTCAATGTAAGATTCGGTGTCTAGTACTAAGTGAATATATAAAACTATCATGGTCATATATCGATTGATGTTTAGAACATTTTTACAACCACCCTAATAGAGTGTGTGAGAATTATTTCTAGCATTTTAAATGCAGAAAATTGGCAATGAAATCTAAGCAATTTTTACCTTCACCGTAAGTTTTGGCGTCATTGAAGTCGACATGAGGAGGCAACTTAGTGAAGTCGATGTGTTCTACCAGAGGCGGCAGCGTATTGTTTACATAGTGGGTTATTTCATTGTAAAGAGGACGATTTTGGTCAGATACCTTAACTAAACAACAAAACAAAGAAGTACAATGAATTGGTTGATTTCATTCCCATTTTGTCACTGATACCAAATGCCATGAAAAGATCACTAAATTCTTCATGTGTGTATTAATCAGTCGCTCAAGGAAGTAATACTTTAACATCTGTGATACCAAAAAAATTACATTAACACTATGTCTATACTTTGGAGTGGGTCATTATTGGTACTATTACACTATGTCTATACTTTTTATATTATATCACTCACAAAAGCATCAGCTTATTGCGAATCAATTTATGACACGTTCTATCTTCTTCCTTATTCTCATCCTTGTCATAGGTGGTTACCAATAATCACAAATAATTTCTTTAAACCTTGCGTTGATCATGATCTCCTTAAAAAATATCCCAAAAGAATGCCATCCAAGCCAATAAGTAGAACATATAGAACAAAAGCCCCAGTAATACTACGTCCATGCCTCAAAAGTTCCTGCCCTAAAACATTAAAACATAACATTGTGCAATTGCCTTGTATAATGCATAGCAGAGTCACAAAAAAAATGAGGGATGATAAATTATAAGCTCTCCCAGTAGCCTCTAAAGAAATGGATGTAAGAATTGGACTTGCCAAACTAAAATAGAATACAAAACAAAAACAAGGAAATAAACAAATTATTGAATTAGTACCTGTTGAAACGATGTCAGTGGTTTCATTATTCACACACACAGTTATTGTACTTGGGGGGAGGGGGAGGGGGAAAGGGAAGGGGAGGAAGGGGTTGGAGAAGTGTACTGAGTAACACAGGTCCACAAGTGTTTTTAAGTGAGACAACACTTGAGTTCCTTGCTTTATTTAGCACCTGTCTGTGTAGGAAGAAAGAATACGAAAGACCTAAATTGCTTCAAATTTCAATTTGTAGTTGATATTGAACGTGAATGCATGCTTTAATGTACAAAATATCTTAACTTTAGAACAATTGTCTATTTGTCTCTTCATCAGTTAAATCAGTGACCACGGGAAGAATTTGGGAATTTTTGGCCTATTTTTCGTTAATGCATAAACAAAATGTGCATATACTAAACATGTTTTTTATAATTATAATTATAATATTTTTTTGGCATATTTATTAATATAAATATTTATTTTTTATTATATAACCGGTTGAATTAGTGGCCCATTTTCCCGGTCTTTTATTGGTTACTGTGTGGGCCGGGATTAAAACTATGCATTCCACCAGAACCGGATAAAACCCGCTAAACCGGCTTAAACATGCTGACCCGTTCCACCCGGACAATTCTCTTCAAACCGGCCGGATCATTAATATTCAATAAAAGGCTGAGTTTTGGGATTTTGCCCTTAATCCGTAAATCTGTAACAAGTCGAATGAAAGGCGAAAACTAGTGACTGTGAGCTTCTCTCGGCCTCTGCCTCTTCCCAGCGATCGTCGATCTTCTCAGCCTAGTCTCTCTCTCTGAGTTTCAGTCTCTCAATCAGAGTTCTCTTTGTGTGCTGCTGCGAGCAAGCAAGGGACGAACCGACGAAGGCTGCTTCAAAGCTCCATCCCATCGAAAGATCGACAACCATTGACAGTAGATTAGGTAATACTAACTCTCTCTCTGTTGGTCTCTCTCTCTACTCTGACTCTCTGAGTACTCTCTAACATGTACACAGTACATGCCTTAATCGGCAAAAAAATTATATTTGATTTTTGATTTCGTTTATACATTGAATCTGTGATTATAGTTTAGAACCTGTGATTACAATTTACAACCTATGATTATAAGTAGTTAAGAGCTGATTGTTTGATCAATTGAGCAAATTAGGGCAATTTTTTTTTATTTTGCTTATGGTTACGAGAAGTGCTTGAGCATATTTGTGGTGGTCTTTCATGCATTAGTTTTTGATTATTTTCATTTGTTGATGTAGGAGCTTTATAAGCTTGAATCAATATTTTTAATATTGTTGGGATGTTATTGGTGTTAGAAATTTTTAAGCGTGAAATTAAATGTAGATATATGGTGGTTTTTTATTCTGTGAAATGAGATGATGTTGAGTTTCTTGTCTTACTAGCGGTAACTCCTGCCGTCAAAGGACACGGTGTAATGTGAATAGTTTTGAGAGAGATATTGGTAGCTGTTGGATGAGTTTGTTAGATGAGTTTATTTAAGATCGTCGGATGAATTTATTGAAGTCTGATCTTTTTTAATATTATGGATGTATCTTAGTTTATACTTTAAAGTTTAAAGTGTAAAGTGGTGTGCTGTGGGGTTTAATTGTGGTTTTTTGGATACATGTTGGATAATTTTTTTTTACTTAACTTTACATGTTTAATGTTATTTTTATAATTATTGTGATTTTTTAACTTATTTATTATAATTTAAAATTATTTTTTTATTATATTGCCTGATTAATGACCCAACGGTTAAATCAGTGACCCATTGACCCGGTCTTTTTACCGGATTGTTATTAGGGTCGGGTTTTAAAACTATGCTTATACTTAAAGTCGGATCACGAGATTGTCATAGCCAGCAATTGTCCACAAAATAAAAAGAGTTGGGCCCATTGAGTTTGATGGACTTTCCAAAGCAAGATTCGCAGGCCCAGTATGAGTTAATCTCGAACCAACCAACCAACCAACTTTAGAAAGTCGGTTTGTTTGTGGATTTGGGCACGAACCAGGCAGCGCCAGCCTAAAACCGCCACAATGCCGTAGCTCCAGTAACGCTGCACGCAACTGTGTGTCCGCATTCCGAGGTTTACAATCCTCTTTGAAACCCTAATTTCCCAGTCTCTTCCCCTTTCTCTTTATATTTACGTCATTGAGCTTGTATACGTATTCTCTATATATGCCAGGTTTCGATGTTTTTAGAGGATAATGATTTGTAGTAATTTTTGTTTGGGGGGGTGGTTGGGAATGGGGCTTTAAGTTTCATTTTTGTTTGATTGCTTTCTCTATTGTATAATGGCTGACTTGTTATGAGATTTTCTCTATTGTACAATGCCTGAGTCGTTATGAGAGGTTGTATTTTTGATAGGAGCAGTTCTTACTTGTAGTATCCGTAGTGTAAGTTTGGTCTATAGTTCATAGAATACCTATTTGTGTCGGATGTACAATGGGTTAATCTTTTTTTTTTTCTTTTCTTGTTGGTCTTTTGGATTGCACTTTTCTGCAAATCATTAATGCCTTTACACTGGTTATCGTTTTGTAACCAAGGAGTCTCTACCAATGCAGTGGTAAGATACTCCGATTATAACTGTAAGGTGATAGGCTTATTATTTGAAGAGAATCAGTTCTGTATATAATGTCAAAGTTAGTCCACCTTCACACGTGCCCGATCAATGGGACCGATCTCAATGATGACTTGTTATGAACTATTATTAGCATTTAATCTACTTGCATACCTTACTTGTGCATAATTGGTTTCTTTTTTTTTTATACGAGTCAAGGGTCTATGTGTTGTTACTTGTTATTCATCACGACGGGTTTGAGTTGTTTACAAATTACAACTGTCAATGTTTCTCTCATTTAAATATTTTCTTTCTAATGTGAGTGTTTTATGCCTTCGAACCAATTGCAGTCTAGGTGGGTTCATGGAGGGAGGGGAGAGTGTATTAGATGCCATCTTTGAAGAGGATAATCTTGAAGATGCCCAAGATATTGAGATGCTTGATGTAGAAGAAGGAGAGTTGGTTGAGCAGACTGCACCAATTGACTTGGGAGAAAATGCTGGCAGAGATGCTAACATTATAAACCAAGATTCTCGAAGTAAAAATCCAAGACGTAGAAATAAAAAGAGGAAGAACAAGAGAAAAAAAGGCAGTTCAGGGCCAGATGCCACAGACATCAACAGGTACTTCTTATCCCAAACATTCTCTCTGATTTAGTTATGGAGAAAGGAACAAACGGCTTGCTTTATATTGTTAGAACATTTTGCCTACAAGCATGTTTGACATGTCCAAACCTTGTCCTTCCAGTTTCCTTTATTTTGATTACGAACAAAAGCTTTTCATTGGTGATGAAAAGGACTTATATGAGGGATGAGAAGTCCTTCCAGTTTAATAGAGGGGAAGGTGGCTTAGAATTTTAGGTTTATTGGGATTGTCACCGGTGGATTTGTCTTTTGGAGCCTATGGTATCCCACTATTCCTATCACAGATAGATATGTTTTCATGGCAAAAGGGTTTTGCAATTTTTGTTAAAACAAAATCGGACCTTTTTGCAACTTTTTGGGGTTGCTCTAGGAACATTTCCTGCCACTTTATTCTGTCTGTGAGCCAGATTTGGTTTGAAGTCGTAAATCATGGCATGACTTTAAATCGTGTATTTATTGGTTTTCCCTGTATATTTAGTATGTTCTCAAGTCCTGCATAGTTGTGGTCATTGCTCTTTCTATCTTGTGAAGAAATCATCGAAACGAGCATTGTTTGTTCTGTTTTGAAGGAAAGGGAGTTCACACTGGAGGGCTAACTTTCTCTCTATATTTTACATCCGCAGATTTGTGTTAGATGTTTGTAAGCGCTTGAAAGAGAAGAAGTCTTACCTGGTATATACTGCTGTGGGTGTTTTGGGTGTATCTGCTTTGAGTGATATTGTCAAAGAGGTATCATTTCCATTTGATGTAATTTAGAGTTATGTTTATGCAATCTAAGCCTCTTTGAAGTTATACAGTCCACTGCTTCTTGAATTGGTTTTATATGCAAGAGAAGTGATTAGTACGATTTATGTAGAACTATTTTTAGATGAAAAATTGTGTGCGTGAAGAAGATTTGTAAAGTGAATATGATTTTCTACTTTGATGTAACTTAGTCTTAAGTGGGAGTAAGTCAAAAGGTGACATTAATGGGTGAGACATTATTTTTTTTTTTTTTGTGGGAAAGTGGGGCATAAAGTATGTGAACAAGTAGTGTAGTATATCTTCATTGTTGTTGCTTTTGTCATGTGGTTAAAATATTTTAAAATCCCTTGAGTTGATAGGATGATCTCAATAAAAACTCGCTATACCATTACAGTAGTGCTAGCGCTAGTTTGAGTAATGATTTCAAAACTGGAATTCATTTGTCAAATAGAACTGCTTTATTATAGTTAGGTTCAAGGGTTTCTTTTCTACAAGAAACCATTTGCTCAGGCTTAGTCTTATCAAATCAATGGCTCACAATCTTTCAATGAAATCAAGGTGCTTACTATTGAGAAAGTTATTTGTGTGCAACAGTAGCCAGTTAATCTAGCATTTACGTATGGTTTTTGTTAGTTAAATTACGTACAGTTTGACACTTTATTAATTTCAGATAATCTTTGTAGCTATCCCTCCTTGCTCTCCCCCTAGTTTTAGGAATGTTCTCAAGATCTAAGAAAAATTTGTGACAGATTGTGAACAGATAACCTGCAAAAATTCAAATTGCGTCTGATGTGCATTGAAAATATGGATGCAACCTTTGTCTGTTTGTTCTTTGGAGTTTGGACCACAACTCAATTGTGCCTTCTTTTAAAAATGCATGGTTAACAATAGCACTTAATCTAAAGGATTTCCTTTAATATTTGTTGGCAGAAAATAAATAAATAATAATAGAGTTGTTTTTTTCTGTGGTCAATATGAATTGTGTGTAATAGTTGTCACATATGCGCGTGTGCGTGTAGTGTGCACGGATGGATAAAGTCACAAAGGACAGGGCCAAACTTTGGCGTAGGGGTGCGGTTTGAAAATAGTTTTCAGTCAGCAATTGAATGTACTGTTGATGTCTTGCAAGCCACATTATTTCCCCCTGCGCAAAGATTGATGCTTTCATTCTATTTTGAAAGAGTCCACACACTAGATACTGTCGTTGACTCGTTTGTGTCAAATATGTAGCGTTTTCTCTGTGTTTATCCTTTCAAAGATATGTTCAAAGGCGCCGTTGAGTGCACAAACAGTGTATTTATTGGTATCCTGTTTTTACTTTCCTGTTCTTTTAACCCATGGTTGTGTGCGCTGCAAACTTTTTCTTCAAAATTGAGATTTTCTTCTTTTTGATGCTCCCCCCCAATCACCCCCGTCCTCTTGGAGGAAGCGGGGGGGACCAAAAAACCCTTTTTCCTGATTAATACATTGTGCTTTTTATTTACTAAATGAGCTTAAAGCTATATTTTGGGTGCTCATGAAGTTGACCTTACCCCATGATTCATATGCCATGTTGAAAGGTCAGAAACTATCAACCTTTTGGTTTCAGTTGCAAGCAAGAAATATTCACTTGGTTATTGCAATGGAAGGTGAGATATTGGAGTTACAGTTGATTTTGGAACAGCCTAGAGCTGACAGTGTTATTCCCTCTATATAAAGATCTGCTACCTTTTTTAGTTTCTGATGATCAATGTTGTTTCACTACACTCGCAGATATTTCGTGCAGAAGCCATTTCACTGTTTCCATTCCTGTGGATCATTGAGACGGGACATTTCTTTGCTGAACCAATTCGTTTCATATTAATAGACTGATGTCAATTGGTTTGACGCATATTTTGCAGTTTCATCACTTGGTATGCATGTAGATACACTCATGCACACAAAAACATTATATGTATTGGTTACATATCCTATTTGAAGGGAAAAATTATCCACCATCTGATGAAAAGTGCGTACCGTGTCTGTAGGGACAATAATATGTGATCCTTGTTGGATGCATCTGATTTTCTATTGCCAAGAAAAATGTGTAAATTGGTGGTGCTTTGTTTTGTTGTTTTATTATATTAGTATCCATTCCTCTAGACGTTGTTCTGGTGTCTATTCGCAAGTTCAATCTTTCTTGCTGATTGGAGTTCTTGCATTTGTATCATTGATGACTGGATAAAAGGTTTAGGGAGAAGAAAGAGAATTACAGGAGCTGTCCTTTTGTATCTTTAGGTTTTTTTTTTCATTCCATCATGTGAATTTCTCAGGGAATGACATGAAATGTCTTTTGTTAAAACCTAGCATTAAGGGAACGATATACAAGAGAAATGGAGAAAAACTCGTGATTGGTAGAGGGAAATATCTGTTTACGATATAGTTCAAAGAAAGAGTCGTCTCATTTTCTTACTTCTTCGTTCTTTCTAATTCATTCACTTCAAGACTGGTTCTGAACGCTGCGTAACATCATCTTTAACCAACCAACCTTCTTTTTGGCAAATCCAATTTTAGTAAGACAAGGGTGCTCTCCTTTTGTCAGTCTGATCTACTTATCAAGATGGTTCCATATGCAATGGCAAAGAGCCGAAGAAATCGATTCGTTATTCCACTCCATTGGATTCAAGAATGCGAGAACGAATTAATGCCCCGTTCAGATATCTCGATGTCCTTGCACATATACGAGGATGTAACTTCTAAGACAGGATGATATGAAATCTTTTGAGTGCTATGCAGGGTGGATGACTGAGACTACTGGATTATGAACAGTTGAACTTGGTAAATTAGAATTTAGTAAAAATTTATGTGTGTGTTCGTTCTAGTAAGATCTTTAAGCAGTATAGGTAAGCTTTTACAATTCGATTATTTTAGCTGTTCATCATTCATGTTTTTTCTATTTCAAGGACATCTCTGTGTTTTATTTTAATTTCATATTAATTAGAGCCTATGAGAATGTCCTATTAGACTACTTGTTTCTTGAAAATAGGATTGTCTTTTTTAGCTTTGTTAGTCTATTTTACCTTTCTGGCTTTCTGCTGGTTTTCATTGTGCAGTTGGATATGTAACGAAATGGAAAATATGCAGGTTGATGCAATTCAGGCTTGTGGAGGTCAGAAGACTGCTGATGGTAGACGCTATCGGACAGGTGGTGGTATACTATGGTGCATTCTCAAAGCACGTGATCCAAATGCCTACAGGGAAATAATGAAAAAAGGGAAGGAGTTTGAGGTAAATTACTTACTTTTGCTTTTAAATAGTATACTTAAATTTTAGCTTGTAAAAGCTATTGCTTGGTGCTTTTGTTTAATTTGGCCCTATGCACTTGGAAACTTAAATTGTATTTCCTTTTTCCATTATTCAAATTAGTAGGGGCACACACAAATTGAGTGCATAAGTTTAAGCTAATAAGTACGTAGTTTTGGTTTAGTAGGGAGTGATGAATCTTGGAGAAAAAAGCAAAATAATCCCAAATCGTGTTTGGGGCAAAATTATGGACATGCAAACTTTCCCTTTAGGTTCCATTGTGAATTGAGGAAAGCTATAACTAGGAAATGGATGAAAAAAAACCTCACAATAGCATCTTCTGGAGGGTAGGAAAAAGTAGAAGTTGATACTTAATTCATAACAAGTCTTACAGTCTGCCTAAGAGATATGGAGCCTTCTGTTGTCAGTGTTTGATATATCTTGCATCTAGAGCTCTGGTAGGTTGTTGGAGAGATATGGGTTAGAGCAGACGATGGAAGGAATTGGAGGATAGTCTCATGATGTCTCATGTTTTATAGTTGGAGGGAAAGAAGAATAGAGTTGATCCCTTCATGTTATGATACTGTTTTTTCTGGCTCGGAGTGTGTACCTAGTGAGATAGGGGCATTAAACAAACCAAGCTATTGGCCCACTAGAAAGATTGTTCAAGCTTGTAAGTCTATGTGAGCCCTGTTCTAACCAAGTTTAACTTGGTTGTTAGATGATTTAGACTTGAGCAGACACTAGGTTAGCCTAATGAGGCTAGCAAAAATTGTGTAGATATCTCTAGAGTGGCACTCTAGCATGGCGCAAAGTTGATTTTTGTGAAATGATGATGTCACTGGAAAGGTGGACGTGGACCCATTTAGAGTAACGTCTTTTTGTTTGGAAACATGGATGCAAACTATCGGTTGTTAGTGCTACTCATTGACCCTTGGTGGGGCTTTTAAATGAATTTCCAATTGCTCGGGCTCATATTTGTGACAATGATGTCACATAAAAGGTGGGCTCATAAAGACTTGAGAGTATGGAGTGGACTGCCCTTTCTTCTTCCCTGCTCCCCGAACTGCCCTGCCAAATCAACCCTGTGAGTCGTGCTGCCCCATGTAGGGGTAATCTGCAACCCACCCTATCCAAATTGGAAATGCCCAAACCCAATATGGCCTGTTTGGACCATTTTGGTTAATTCACATCATAATCGTGTTGGGTCAGGCTTGATTGGCACAAACTTGTCCCACCACAAAACTGATTGGGTTTGGGACATCTCATCTCATACCTGCCCTTCCCCCATTCTACGAACCCCATACCTAGCATTAGGGACGGACTGCTTGTGCATTTTGCCCTGTTGCCATCCGTATTCATGCAATATCATCAGGCCACTTCCTAGTTGTGAGCTTGTATTAGCTAAGCTTAAGCTCCTGGTGACAAAGTTGCCTTGAGCCACAGCCGAGCTAGGCACCACATGTATTATAACAGGTCAACCTCAAGCATTTTTGTTGGCGTGCATCTCCTTTTTGGAGGTTATAGTAAGTTTTTGACTTACAGGAAAAAGGAAAAAGAAAACCTGAAAGGAAAGAAAAGAAACATAACATTTGCCCGATGAAAGTCAAAAGTGAGACTTCATCTATGTATTTTAAGGGGTCCTTGTTTGGATGAATGGCTGACTGTCCAGATCATTGATCTCAATTTCTGTTGCAGTCATATTTGACTTGGGATAAAATAATGTTTTTATCATCCCCGATTCCCCATTCTTGTACTCTAGCAAAGTAAGGGCAAAACTAGGTGTCCGAATCATAAGTGGTAAGAGCATCTCCAACCACACTCAGCAAAATAGCTACTCAAAATATATTTAAATATTGAATTCACTATTTTAGCTAGCTACTTTTTAAAATTCATTCTAACCACGCTCTTTATTTTAGTTAACTAGTTCAACTAACTTTAATTAACTTTCAATAATATAATTCAAAAATACCACGTGGCATAACACGTAAGCGCCATAATGATGACGGAGCGTGATGACGTGTTGTGCCATGTCATCAAATTTTTAAATTTTAAATTATAAATTTTACAACAGTCATATTCTCCACGGTTATATTTTCAATGGCCATATTTTCAACAAAGGAAGAATCAGAAACAGAAACAAAAAAAAATACATCATTAAAAACTAGATAACTATTGACAACATTTGACGAAACAAAATATGGGCACAAAATGTCAGATTTCCAAGGTTCTTTGTTTCCATCAATTGCATGCGTTTTCCCGAAAGTTCTAAAATAGAACAGTCCAGTAAAAAAAAGGTTAGAATTGGAGTCAATATGGTCTCCAAATTGCACAAGACCTCCACCATAGAGGTGAAATAGCACCCATCTCGATAGCAGGAACAAATGCAGAACACCCAGAAAGTCAAGGAAGGGAATCTGACCAATTCAATTTATAAGTTAGCTTCAAAATCACCAAACTAAATTGGGTTTCAAATATTTTGACCAATGAACAATCGAATATGCTTTTAAGTATAAATGTTGTAGTGTTCTCTGGTAAAAAAAAAATAGTCAAATCGATAATTCAGCTTCAAAATCACGAAATGGAATTGGGTTTCAAGTTTTTGAACAAACCTAGAGGCCAACTAGAATTATTCAACGGAGAACTAAACTCCAAAATCACTAAATCGAATAGGGTCTCAAGTTTTTGATCCATTTATTACATATTATTGAGTGAGTCCAGAATTATAAGTTTTGAGTTGTGAGCAACAGAACTAAAAAATGTCAGATTTCCAAGGTTCTTTGTTTCCATCAATTGCATGCGTTTTCCCGAAAGTTCTAAAATAGAACAGTCCAGTAAAAAAAAGATTAGAATTGGAGTCAATATGGTCTCCAAATTGCACAAGACCTCCACCATAGAGGTGAAATAGCATCCATCTCGATAGCAGGAACAAATGCAGAACACCCAGAAAGTCAAGGAAGGGAATCTGACCAATTCAATTTATAAGTTAGCTTCAAAATCACCAAACTAAATTGGGTTTCAAATATTTGACCAATGAACAATCGAATCTGCTTTTAAGTATAAATGTTGTAGTGTTCTCTGGTAAAAAAAAAATAGTCAAATCGATAATTCAGCTTCAAAATCACGAAATGGAATTGGGTTTCAAGTTTTTGAACAAACCTAGAGGCCAACTAGAATTATTCAACGGAGAACTAAACTCCAAAATCACTAAACCGAATAGGGTCTCAAGTTTTTGATCCATTTATTACATATTATTGAGTGAGTCCAGAATTATAAGTTTTGAGTTGTGAGCAACAGAACTACATTGCCAAGCCAAAATAAAGAGAAATTTAATTTAACCATGTAAACTCCGTTGAAATGAAGAGCTTATTTATGAGAAGGTAAGAAGATACTGGTTTTTTGTTTGGAGCCTAAGAAGTGAGAAGATTTGGTACGAGGGCGATTGGCAAAGACGAAGAGTAAACCCTACTCCCGAATAAGGGCTAATCGTGAACCTATTTGGTTACAAAGGCAACTAGCGTTTTTGGGAAATCAGGCTGTTCATAGAGAAGATCCATCTCTATACAGTTCTTGATTTCATCATTTGAGGTATCAAAATCATCTTAGATTTCTAGTTGGGCATTAGGGTTTCTGTCGAATCAAGCACAGAGAGAGAGAGAGAGAAATAGAGAGATCCATACCGGGTGAAGATGAAACCACTGTGAAGACAACTCTGATGAAGACAAGCTCTAATGAAGAACCCCCCAAAATTGGCACAAAGCTCTGAGATGAAGAACAATAGCCAGTGAGTTTTGCTAGTCAGAAGTGATGAGTGAGAATGGGGGTCAGTAAAATAGCCAGTAGAATAGAGAGCCGGTTGGAGATGCTCTAACAGTATATTGAGAGAGAGAGAGAGAGAGAAACTCAAACATAATTTGATTAGAGAGAGAGTTATATAGTTACACCTATGGAATAGGGTAATGACCTTATTGCCCCTAACTCATTGACACTCCCCCTCAAGTTGGACTAAAGATATCAAATAGTCCTAGCTTGGAACAAAGAATACCAATCTTATCTCTACTAAGTGACTTGGTGAAAATATTTGCCAATTGATCTACAGGCAGGACAAAAGCATGTAGTGATCTCCTTAGATTGAAGCTTTTTATGAACAAAGCGACAATCAATCTCAATATGTTTTGTTCGTTCATAAAAAATTAGATTCGAATCAATATGAACTGCAGCCTAATTACCACAAAATAATTGCATTGGAAAGGTTATTGGAATGTCAATCTCATGCAATAAATTCTTTAGCCATATCAATTCACACGTAGGCTGAGTCATTGCCCTATATTATGTCTCAGCACTAGATCAGGCCACAACACTTTGTTTCTTACTTTTTCAGGTCACCAAATTTTCTTGAAATTTTCTCCAAGGAATGTACAATATCTTATAGTAAATTTTCTATCTGATGGGGAACTAGCCCAATTCGCATTTGTAAAACCGATTACCAGTAAATGTCCATGAGCTCTATATAGTAATCCTTGACCAGGAGCCTTTTTTAAATATCGCAGGACTCTAATCACTACATCCTAATGGGGTACTCTTGGAGATTCCATAAACTGACTTACAACACTAACTGCAAAAGAGATATCTAGTCTTGTAATAGTCAAGTAATTCAATTTTTTCACTAGTCATCTATACCTTTCGCATGTTTAAATAACTCCCCCTGTGTGGTCAATCTTGTATTAGATTTCAGGGGAGTATCAACTGGTTTTGTACCTGAAAGTCTTTCAACAAGTAGATCAAGTACATACTTGAGCTGAGACAAACTAATACCACTCATGGATTTAGCTACCTCAATTTCAAGATAGTACCTCAACTTACTCAAATCTTTAATATGAAACTTATGTTGCAAGAATGCTTTTTAGAGCAATAATACCTTTCACTGTCACTCCCTATGATAACAGTATCGTCCACATAGACAATTAAAATAATCATGCTAGACTCATAATTCTTAGGATTAATAGTACTACAGGTCCCCGAAGTATGAT